CTTTTTTTTTATATATATATATATATATATATATATATATATATATATATATATATATATATAGTGACTATTTTGTGTACATAAACAAACAATAAAATTGCATATATAAACTAAAAGGTAAATTTCAAAAATTAATAAATATGCCTATAATACTAAACCAGGGGGGGGGGAATTGAATGACTTCAATTTCAGTCTGTTCCTCACAAACCTAACGCATGTCTTCAGAAGAAGTTCTTTTTTGGGGGGGGGTGCTTTGAGTTCATTCCTGTTCAGTTTTATTGCACGGAAAAGAGCAGCTTGGACATTCAGCAAATTGCCTCATTCTGTGTTTCTCACATGAAAGAAATTCATACACTGAGATCTTAATGAGTTTTAAGTGATTTTGGGATTGTTTTTCCAAGTAAAATATCAAAAATTCCTTAAAAAAGATATTAAAAAAAATATTTTTTTGAGAAGCAACACTGTTTAAGATATAACGACTTGTTTTCAGAGAATGGATCTTTAACACTAGTGTTTTTGTACTGTACTGTCAGATTTGTAAACTTTTTTTAAAGTATAAACAAGAAGTAAAAAAATCTGTCAGTGCAGTAAATATATTATATTCAAGATGAAATATATTCTAATATAATAGTATGTCATTATACAGTGTTGCTTCAAGCAAATGATCTCGTTTTAGAGATTTTTAGACGATTAAACTGTAAAACAAGACAGCAGCACTCATTAAGAACACGTATCAGCACATAATAACCTCTAATGAAGTCTTTTAACAGTGCATTTCTTTATTAAAACCAAACCAACAACTGACTAGCCATTGAAAACCTGCACTTAAGTTTCTCAAAGCTGTTCCCTAATTAGTCTACCCAGACATGTTTGATGTCTCTCTTAGAAGTGCAGGCTAATAACCGTGGGTCGTGTGAAGATGGTAAACCACAAAGCAGAAAAGGTTTGACAGCTTAGTACAGCGAAACACAGTTTAACCTTCCACTAGACAGATCAGCTTATTAACAGCATCCACAACACACACAGACTATTGGGCCACAGCCATATTGAACAAGCTCCGGTGTGAAAGAATCACAGTCTCCCGGCAGGCAGAGAGGGCTTGTGTGATGAAGCGCTCTGATTGGCCGTTGCTATAACAATAGGGGAGGAGAGACAGCCAAGTGGGGGTGGAGACCCAGCATGATTATAAAATCCTTCAGAGAGACACATTTACTTCCTGTATGTGTTTATTTTTTTTTTATTTTCTGTTATGTTTTCCCGCATCTCCTCCTGTCAGAAGGCTCTCTCATGAGCAGAAGCAGGAGGGAGTGCAGATAGGGACGCGAGACAAACGCCTGTGCCTCTCTCTACTGCATTCACGTGTGCTATGCGTGCTGCAGACTAAATAAGACACCTCCAGTTTTGGATTATCTGTCTGGCGGTGCGCTGACTGCTGACTGCCTCCAGACTTGAAGGCCGCCCTCCTCCTTCTCTTTCTCCTCCCTTTCACACTGAAGGAAGAGTAGAGTAGAGACGGTCTACTGTTTGCCTCCTGCAGACTCCAGCCATTCCTGTGAGTATGCAACCGTGTCTGTGTTGTGACATGAACTGTTGTGAACTGACGTTATGACATGCTTGAGATGATGTTGACCGTGTTGTTATTTAGAAGCTGAAACTGTGTACATCTACATCTAGCATTGGAATAATGCCATAAAGGCTCTTTCCATTCAGGTTTCGCTCATCTTTCTAAACCCACACGCTGACGCAATACATGCGGCTTCGGGGTCACACGTGTTCAGCGACGTGGGCTTTGATGTGCACATGATTCACGGCCGGGACTATACATTTGCGGAGAGCATCCTTTAAAGTGACACATTGCAATGTTTACATCACGCCTGCTTATTGCAGCCTATCTGACAGTAGGCACACCACTCGAATGCACAAATAGTCGGTCAAAAACATTAGTGTGAAGCAGGACCAGTGTGAAGGCACACTAGGCGGCTGGCAGTGGCTCATTAGTGCAGAAAGGAGCTATTAATAAAGGAGTCATGCATCTTGAAGTCAAACAGCCCACTCACTGGCTGTGGCCGCGCTCTTAAAAACAAAGCCTATCAAGGCTGTTTTGGGCTCTTTGTAAAAGTAAAAAGTTGTCTGCAGATAAGTGTTTTGGTTTCTGGATCTTGAAAGCAACAGTATGTGATGGTTTCGCACAGAACGAGCGAGTAAAAGTTGTGCTGTTTGAAAGAGTCAACAGAGAAACCAAGAATTCACAAGCAACTTGCGCAACTTTTCAGAGTAGGTCTTGAAAAGCTCATGTGATCATGAAGATGATCCAGTGAGGGCATGTGGAAAGACGCAAATCATGTTTATGTTTGCTTGAGGGAAGGTTACTTTTATTAAAATGTTAAAACAACTTTGGGACTGGCTACATGTTGCTCATGAGAAATCCACAGTAATTGCATTAAGCAGCAACTCTCTCTCTAAAATGCTTTTGGAGAAATTATTTTGAAATAAAATTCACAAATATAATGACTTTGGTGCATAAGAGCGCAATGTTATATAGCTCAGATGATTTGGTCTTTGTAGCACTGAATGAGAAACATTTGAGTTTATGGTCACACTTTTTTAAAGTCCAGTGCTTGCCATCAACGAACCATTAATTACGACTTTTGCCTCAATAAACTCCTAATTAGCTGCTTATTAATAGTTAGTAAGGTACGTTTAGGTATTGGGTATGATTAGGGATGTAGAATATGGTCATGCTTTATAAGTACTTATAAACAGCCAATATGTTAATAATAGGCATGCTAATAAGCAACTAGTTAATAGTGAGAACTGATCCCTATTCTAAAGATATTGACAGTAACTCGGCAAAAGCGAGCAGAGTTTGAACACAACTCAACAGTCACATGCGTGCACTGGAGAAAAAAACGATAGCAAAAGTCTCTATTTCATCTCAAAACAAAACTGAGACATAAATAGGTTTTTATATGTGTGTGTTTGAAATAAAATTCACAAATATAATGACTTTGGTGCATAAGAGCGCAATGTTATATAGCTCAGATGATTTGGTCTTTGTAGCACTGAATGAGAAACATTTGAGTTTATGGTCACACTTTTTTAAAGTCCAGTGCTTGCCATCAACGAACCATTAATTACGACTTTTGCCTCAATAAACTCCTAATTAGCTGCTTATTAATAGTTAGTAAGGTACGTTTAGGTATTGGGTATGATTAGGGATGTAGAATATGGTCATGCTTTATAAGTACTTATAAACAGCCAATATGTTAATAATAGGCATGCTAATAAGCAACTAGTTAATAGTGAGAACTGATCCCTATTCTAAAGATATTGACAGTAACTCGGCAAATGCGAGCAGAGTTTGAACACAACTCAACAGTCACATGCGTGCACTGGAGAAAAAAACGATAGCAAAAGTCTCTATTTCATCTCAAAACAAAACAACTGAGACATAAATAGGTTTTTATATGTGTGTGCTCCTTGCTATAATTGGAAAACCAGTGGAAACAATAATAGAAATGGTTATTTTTATTAGTTACTCATGCTAACCAGTCAGTCTCCTCATAATTTTCTCCACAAACTTTATTCCACGTGTGGAAGATAACCTTCATTTAATAGACAGAGAGAATATGAGGACAAACCTGAGATGTGGTGAAGACAACAGCATTACGTAAGTTTATGAGTTCCTTAGGATGAGAATATGACAGATATTATCACCTCAGTCTAGACAGCCAGCATTTCCTCTCAAAGCTAAATTGTGTATTCAGGAGGAGCAATTGTGGTTTGTTGGTCTTCTAACTCAGTTAATTTTCTTCCTCGGCTGTGAAGCAGAACTTCGAGAAGGCGATTGAAGATAATTGCGCAATTGGGCCTAGGAGAACAGCATCAAATGAGAGGTTTTATTGCTCGTTTGAGATAAATGGTGCCTGGCATATAGTGATGGCTGCAGTGACGCACAAAAATGTCCTAAGCAAAACATATCATATATCATGTGCTTGGATCCGGTGATGTTAATGGCTTGGTGTAAGGCAGCAAAGTATCAAAAGACAACAAAAGCTCCTTCAAGAATTTCCCTGTTGTTTGTATTCAAGCTGGGGTACAATTTCAGAGCCCTGTGATTATAAAGAAGTGCTCTTTGCCTTTCTTCTCCGGCTTTGAAATGGAAATGACACAAAATTCCCTGTCTAGATAGAAATAACACATGGGGAGAATGAATATGCACAAACGCTGCCCTGTATTGGGCATGGTTCTTGTTAGTCAAAAGAGCTGCTGTGCTTTAATGGTGACAGGAAGATGAGAACGAGGTCGACCCAACATGGATACCAGGGTACAGGCCCGGGGCGGCACGCAGCTCTCTGTTCAACCTCTTCACCATCTGCCCTCTCGCTATCTCTCGCCTCACTGGCATCGGTGCTCACGGTCCTGTGAACAAATAACCTCTGTTCACACTGCTAGCGAGCGCTTCTCAGTAACGTTCACACCACCGACGGATTTATCACACAAAACAAGATGCTGGATGTTGTCAATGAACTTACGCAACTTATGTCTGAAACTTTCACGAGTCTGCAACAGGGACGGGAGGAATCTTAATCACAGTATGAGTCAATTTATACTATGATATATAATCACAATGTAGATATTTTTGCATGAAAAAAACATCAACTGTGCCATTTATGAAGTATTTCAATCATTGTATTTTCAATCATGATTTAATTAATTTATATTTTAAATATTATATAACAATAATTATAAAAATAATAACAATAACAAGTAAATACATTTTATTTAATATTATGTTAATTTTAAATGCTAAATATAATTTTTTAAATCTTAAATATAATTAAAAAAAATAAAATGATTAAATTCTGAAACTATTTAAATGTTTTACAAATAACACATTGCTGATTGTCATGAATTATTTTAATTTTACTTTATTATTTTTTTATTCTTATTTGGAACTTAATATAAATTATATCTACCTGCCTACTTACACACACACACACACACACACACACACACATATATATATATATACATATATATATATATATATATTAGTGCTGTCAAATGAATCATTGCGATTAATCACATCCAAAATAAAAGTTTTTTACATAATATGTGTGTGTACTGTGTATATTTATTACGTACATATAAACACACACATACAGTATATACAGTGGGTACGGAAAGTATTCAGACCCCCTTAAATTTTTCACTCTTTGTTATATTGCAGCCATTTGCTAAAATCATTTAAGTTAATTTTTTTCCCCTCATTAATGTACACACAGCACCCCATATTGACAGAAAAACACAGAATTGTTGACATTTTTGCAGATTTATTAAAAAAGAAAAACTGAAATATCACATGGTCCTAAGTATTCAGACCCTTTGCTGTGACACTCATATATTTAACTCAGGGGCTGTCCATTTCTTCTGATCATCCTTGAGATGGTTCTACACCTTCATTCGAGTCCAGCTGTGTTTGATTATACTGATTGGACTTGATAAGGAAAGCCACACACCTGTCTATATAAGACCTCACAGCTCACAGTGCATGTCAGAGCAAATGAGAATCATAAGGTCAAAGGAACTGCCTGAAGAGCTCAGAAACAGAATTGTGGCAAGGCACAGATCTCGCCAAGGTTACAACCTAAAAATTGCTGTCCACCAACGTTTACCATCCAACCTGCCAGAACTGGAGAGGCTCTGCAAGGAGGAATGGCAGAGGATTCCCAAATCCAGGTGTGAAAAACTTGTTGCCTCTTTCCCAAAAAGACTCATGGCTGTATTAGATCAAAAGGGTGCTTCTACTAAATACTGAGCAAAGGGTCTGAATACTTAGGACCATGTGATATTTCAGTTTTTCTTTTTTAATAAATCTGCAAAAATGTCAACAATTCTGTGTTTTTCTGTCAATATGGGGTGCTGTGTGTACATTAATGAGGAAAAAAAATTAACTTAAATGATTTTAGCAAATGGCTGCAACATAACAAAGACTGAAAAATTTAAGGGGGTCTGAATACTTTCTGTACCCACTGTATTTTGAAAATATATACATGTATTTACATGTATATATTTATATTAATATAACTTATATTTTATATAAATATATTTAATATATATACATAACATAATTTTCTTAAATATATACATGCATGTGTGTGTATTTATATATACAGTTTTATGCAAAAGTTTGGGCACCCCTGATAATTATCATAATTTCAATTTATAATCTGCTAGGCTTTCGAAGCTGCAACTTCATTTGGATATAATTTATACCTTATGGATTCATTAATTAACATTTAAATTCTGAAATAACATTTATTGAATCAACAGGAACAATGCAATGTGAATCACAACAAAAACAGACAGGTGCAAAAATTTGGGCACCCCAATGGAATAATCACATCAGTATTTAGTAGAGCCACCTTTTGCTGAAATAACAGCCTGTGGACACTTCTTATAGCCACTTATAAGTCCCTGAATTCTGACTGCAGGTATTCTGACTATTCTTCCTTGCAAAATGTCTGCCGGTTTGATGGCTGCCGAGTG